TTGGGTGTGGATGTTACGGTGTGTGTTAACACATGAGCCAAACTACCAGATTAAGTTTGTTGTTGTTATGTTATTGAGGCTGATATGCAGCTAGCGGCGTTGGGCCTGTCTACCTTGATGATGCCAGAGCTGCTTGGGCCTAGTGTTGGATGAGTCATGAGATAGAGACCGCCCATCCATCCATCCATCGGGTTGCAAGTGCTGCAGTGAAAGTTGAAAAACCTGTCCTCTCTTTCCACTCTTCCACTCTCTCCCTTCCCCCTCCCTCTCTGGTTTCTCTCTCCTCTGTTGTATGACCACTCTCTCTCACCCCCCCTTCCCTCTCTCTCTCTCCCCCCCTCCCTCTCTGGTTTCTCTCTCTCCTCTGTTGAATGACCTTGGGAGATCAGAGCCGAGCGAGTGCTTCCTATAGTTGGTTTGAAGCAGAACCAAGGGCAAAGTTAACAGGGCCAGGTGGATAGACGGCTTTGACACGGGTCAGGGCAAGCACAAATTTCAAGCACAAAATCGACTGTGGACGGATCACAACATATGCATGCAATTCTAGCTTCGTGTTCTTGGTTAATCTGTAATTCACTGACTGGCTGAGAATGAGAACCGTCTCCTTGTTTTTGTTGTGCTTGAGTAGATCATTTATCCTGCACACTGCAACACTGCCAATTTCTGTTCTCTTTTTTGGGGGGGATTTTAAGGTTGGGCTGTATCCAGATTTCCATACTGTTTCTGTACCATACTGTGGTATACGGTATTACCGAATGTGCATACATGGGGTCGCTGAGCTGGATATCATTTATTTGACACATCTTAGATTTCTTATTGTTATACTTAACTTATAGTTATAAGTAGGGGCGTAGCATTGAGGCGGCATTTTGTCGGTATACGGTATAAACGGTATATCGCCCCAGCCTATTGGGCTTTACCTCTAACCCCGAATGAATATATATATATATGTATATGTGTGTGTGTATGTGTGTGTGTATGTGTATATATATATATATATATATATATATATATATAATGTATGTGTGTGTAGTTGTTTTGAGTGTGATATGCCGCTGCCGCTTTGCCCATAATATGGCCCCTAGGATTCAACAATGATTGATTCTAGGGATTTTTTTCTTTTCAGTTTCTCATCCCTCAGTTATAATTTTTCCTAATGCTTTATTTAGAAATGTTCATGTTCATGCTTGTCCTACATGTTTTCTCCCCACACTGATTTTCATTTGAATAGAGCTGGATAAAGCCGTTAGACTGAGCTTCCAATATCAATTCATAAAGTGAGAAGAAAAAGCATGAAATGTGTGTTTTTTGTAGGAATTACATTCGGACAAAGTACCTGTTTTTGATCAATTCTGCCCTAGAAAACAGAATTTCACTTAGGCTTTTCACGATACCAACATTTTACAAATGATACGATACCAGGCCAAGTATCACGATACCGGATAGTATCGCGATATCACGGTGGGAAAAAAATCTGTGGCCTAGCGTCCTGTTTGCCCCGTCCCCCGGACAATTGTTCTCCAAAAACCTGTCACTGAAATTCACACTTTTACTCAATACAACACATTGAATTTAACGTCACACTGTTCAGTGTATAATATAATACTGCATAGAATGGCTGATTTGCTTATATTTGCACCGGCCTACCTGTGATTTGGCTGGAGGAATGGGAGGAAGGAATCAGTGGAGGCTGCTGAAGGGAGGACGGCTCATAATAATGGCTGGAATGGCGCAAATGGAATGGCATCAAACACATAAACTGTGTTTGATACCATTCCACTCATTCCGCAACAGCCATTACCACGAGCCTGTCCTCCCAAATTAAGCTGCCACCAACCTCCTGTGATATACATGTCATTGTGTCAGTAAGAGGAAAACACTGCATGAATCCTTCTTTACTTTCCAGTTAAGAAACACAAACACACTCTCTCTTCCTCACACACTCACTCTGTCTCCCACAAATACACTGCTCCCAACTTTTAAAACATTTGGCACCAAACAGAATTGAAGGAGCACCAGAAAGAAATATTTGTTGATATAGTTTAGTCTTCCATTAGGCCTATATGAATCCTACCTTTGAAGCACATCTCATGAGTAGCAGACCCTTTTCCTTTCTTCCTGGGCCAATCAGATGTGCCTAAACCTACTGTCAAGTTACCAGGTTGTTAGCTAGCTAGGTAACATGACTGAACAAGGTTGTTTGTTATCAAACCAATAATTAGCGACCCGGGATTATTTTAAAATGGGCCGCAACATGGTTTGTGAAATTATATATAATGTGCGCGAATCCCGATAGAAAGAAAAACAGGCATCTCCGGTAATATGGCTCATTTTTTAAACCGTTTAGGCTAGAGACAAGCCGTTTGCTTTGCTGTAAATCTGCAAGCATGCCTGTCGCGAAGCGGCGCTCCCATTTCCCTCTCTGACATTCTGAGGCTGCATGACAGTGTACTTGCAAATTCTACTCAGACTGGTCTGTGCTCTTGGTTATAACAGGCGATGAAATGATACAATGTATCAACATTGCTCGCTTTGAGCGATGCTCCAATGTAAAACATGTACAAATCTAACAACAGAAGACTCATGAGGGTCTGGGTCTGCATCCCGCTCACCATCACGGCTAAATTATTTATTTAAAAAACTGATGGAGGAATAGACATGCGTGAAGAGCGGACGGAGAGAAGCAGGAAGGGGCGGCAGGTAGCCTAGTGGTTAAGAGCATTGGGCCAGTAACCGAATGGGCGCTGGTTCGAATCCCTGAGCTGACTAGGTGAAAAATCTGTCAATGTGCCCTTGAGCAAAGCACTTCACCCTAATTGCAGATTTTACATCTGCCTCACGTGATATGCGCATGAAAGTGAAGTGGATAATATTGAACCTGCGCATACAAGAGACTAGTGGCTGTTGCTTAAATTCATCTGAATTTATAAACACAACTGACTATAAACATTTTATAACAGGCGCCAGCAGGTTATTTTAGATCGGTAGGGCAGAGAAAAAGTCATATGAAACAGTACTACGGTATTGTAAAATGTTGGTATTAGAAGTATCATGACGTTTTGGCAACGTGATATTACCGTGGTACCTGTGCAACACTAATTTCACTCCTAAAAGGCTGATTCCGTGATTGGGCCTGTTTTTCTGCTAAACACAATCCTACAGGGCTTGCTTTTAGCAACTTTCCTTGAGTTAAACTTTTTGCATCGAAGGCAGTAATGCTTCTACAAAGTGACCCCGCTAAGGACATTGCATGCAGCTTGTGCAATGTGTACCCTCTTACTGTTTGCTCTGTAGACCTATCATCCATAATTTACTGATAGCCTAGCTAGCTTATATAGCCTAGCCATTTGGTTGAATAACTGCAGTCATCCAGAGTATTCTGGTTTACATCAATGTTTCAGAGTTAGTCAGTGCAGGCTCTCGTGGGGGAGTCTCACAAGTCTGGATTAATGAGTTAGCCAGATAACTTATTCTGCCAACATCTTGTAACCAGTCATGGTGCCATGACTATAGGGCTAAATCCTTAGGCTATCCTTTAACCTGCTCCAGTCCAGGTCATCTGAGGGCAGTTGTTCTTCAGACTGCCTCCAGGTTTCCTCCTCATCCTCCTCCTCGGCCCATTAACCGTCATACTCTGCTCTCCGCAGTCCGCACTACTGTGACCTCCATTTACTCTGAGTGACCCGCTATTAACTTAGTGCTCAGAATTAGTGTTTCACTCACTAATTTTCTGTCCATCAGCCATGCATTTACTTAAGCAGTGAACACCTCCCTATAGAGAGTATATTTCTGTTAGCTAGCTAGCTACTTTCAGTACAGGACTCCAATCTGAAAACACTTTCTATCTAGTGCCTTGGACTTCCCCCTTGCGGATTCTGAAAGGACAGGACAGGTACAAGCAATATGGTAGTGCTGAGCGATAAGTGCTTTTTGAGGCCGGTTTGGGTTAGATTACTAAAAAAAAAATGTAAACATTAAATGCGCTATGCATTATGTGAGTTGAATGCTGTAACAACACAGAATAAAACAATTAATAAAAGTCCCATGATGGTAGTGACTGCCCATTGCAGCTTATCACTTATTAAGTATGACAATGTATGCACTCACTAACTGTAAGTCGCTCTGGATAAGAGCGTCTGCTAAATGACTAAAATGTAAAGTTAACCATAATTTATTTCACATTGCATTATTTTAAAATATTTCAGTTGGGTATATTACTTTATTATTTCATTCCAAGTCATCATCTCATCTCTAGAGCTGCTGCCTCTGCTGTCTGACTCAATCACTATTTTAGTAGTTCTTCAAAGTAAATAAGGCATACTTTAATGACTGCTGAATACCAACTATCAATCACTTAGATGATGTATTTTCAGGTAGAGATACCTCGCGAAGCAACTGCCCTCTAGCCCTCTCCATCACACATTATTCTGTCTCTTTTATGTAGCAGGCATAAAAGAAACACAGACTGGAATAGTAGGTGCGCAATGGATTATTATAGTCATTGTATTTAATTACCACGTTTTCTGCGCTAAACTATGTAGAATATTGGCCTGTTGGAAACTGCAACTCCCTACTACATCATACAGTTCATGCTTGATCTGATTTATCTATAGAGAAACTGTGCAAAGTGCGCATTGAGCTCAATTCAAATAATTGAACCAATGTCGGTCAATTAGTTGTTTAAAAACCGACAAATTATATTGTCTCTGGTCAAGAGATCTGAGAGGACTAGATGGAGTGTTTCCACCATTTTCCTTGCACCTATCCAGTTCTTTCCGATGTTGTAAGGCGAGTTCAGTCCACAAGGGCCCAGGTAAGGGAATGTAATTGGCAGTTGGACCTGAGCTCTGAAGCTGCTGTGAGTGTGTCTGTGGCCGACCTGCCAAGGGAGAACAGCAGATAGGCTGGGGCTGGCAGGAAACAATGCTGCTGATTCAGCAGATCCTGCTCCTTACTGCTGCTGAACACCATTGACTTGAGAGAGGGAGAGAGGCGTTGGGATGGTCAGCGCTGCCGACGAAGCACAGGCACTCAGCGCAGGTCAGGAGAAACCCAACACTGCCATTGCTTCTCTCTCTCTCTGACCACTGAAGGGCAACGGAACTGCAGAGGAGTAGAAAGCAGTACAGTGGAGCACAGCAAAGAACAGGGCAATTGAACTCCAGTGGTGTAGTGGAGAGTCAACATCACGTTAACGCAGTTTACGCACCTTTTTTATTCATCGTGGGAAAATGCATTGAAAATATAGCAGGGGTACATTTAGCTTTCAGAAATCTGCACTTTCAAAACGCAGACCATTAAAAGTCTGCGTTTTTAAACCATTTCACCTGCGTTTTATATTGAAAGTCAACAGTGGTATTTTGCTTCAATAGAGTAAGGGGCTTGCAACTATAGTTTTTCTTCACAAAATACATGAGTGCAACACATTCGGCAGAAAATCGTTCTCTTCAGAAGGTAACAGAAGTGCAACACTGTTTGGCTAGCAGCAGCCACACGTAAATTAGGTTACAATAAAAACATGGTATTTTTTTGCCAAAACGATGCATGGCCATTATATTTCTACCGTTTATCATAGAAAGAATGTAGCCAGCTACATTTTGTTTTGCTTAAAGTTAATCTTGCATTTTACCTTGCTACCGGAGAACAACTAGGCAGGAGGAAAGTACCGGAGAAAAGTCGTCTACACATCAGTCAGAGTGCTGTCTGGTGATCCAATGACGAGCAAAGATATTTCATCCGAGTGGAGAAGTGCAACTGAAGCACAATATTTGTCCTTTTACATTCATGATTTGGAGCAAACCCTGACTGAAGCCGAACAGAATTTACAAATAAGAAGCATTTTCTTTACCACTGCATCACACTGAACACCACAGCCTGATGCTCCAAATAGACATGTTAGTCACTGCCTCTTCAAGGTCAGTTATCATCTGTCCCCATTTGGAGAGGTTCACTCCTGGTGAACTTGATGCTATTGGATCAGGTTTATGTTTGGCTAGGACTGGAGGAGGAGGAAAGACCCCTTTATTGCCTGTCTAAGGCCTACAGTGCTTATATGCACAGAGTTTCTATTGACTTGGGAACTGAGAAACTAGGCTATATCAATATATGCTGAACAAAAATATAAACGCAACATGTAAAGTGTTGGTTTCATGAGCTGAAATAAAAGATCCCAGAAATGTTCCATATGCACAAAAAGCTTATTTCTCTCAAATGTTGTGCAGAAATGTGTTTACATCCCTGTTAGTGAGCATTTCTCCTTTGCCAAGATAATCCATCCACCTAACAGGTGTGGCATATCAAGAAGCTGATTAAACAGCATGATCACTACACAGGTACACCTTGTGCTGGGGACAATAAAAGGCCACTCTAAAATGTGCAGTTTTGTTACACAATACCACAGATGTCTCAAGTTTTGAGGGAGCGTGCAATTGGCATGCTGACTGCAGGAATGTCCACCAGAGCTGTTGCCAGAGAATTGAATGTTAATTTCTCTACCATAAGCCGCCTCAATGCTATTTTAGAGATTTTGCTTCACAACTGCAGACCACATGTAACCACGTCAGCCCAGGACCTCTTCATCTGCGGGATCGTCTGAGACCAGTGAACCGAATAATTTCTGTGCAAACTGTCAAACTCTCTCAGGAAGCTCATCTGCGTGCTCGTCGTCCTCACCAGGGTCTTGACCTGACTGCAGTTCAGCGTCGTAACCGACTTCAGTGGGCAAATGCTCACCTTCATTGGCCACTGGCATGCTGGAGAAGTGTGCTCTTCACGGATGAATCCCAGTTTCGACTGTACCGGGCAGATGGCTGACTGCGTGTATGGCGTTATGTCGGTGAGCGGTTTGCTGATGTCAACGTTGTGAACAGAGTGCCCCATGGTGGCGGTGGGGTTTTGGTATGGGAAGGTATAAGCTACGGACAACCAACACAATTGCATTTTATCGTTGGCAATTTGAATGCACAGATACTGTGACGAGATCCTGAGGCCCATTGTCGTGCCATTCATCCGTCACCATCACCTCATGTTTCACCATGATAAATGCACGGCCCCAATGTCGCAAGGATCTGTACACAATTCCTGGAAGCTGAAAATGTCCCAGTTCGTCCATGGCCTGCATACTCACCAGACATGTCACCCATTGAGCCTGTTTGGGATGCTCTGGATCGACGTCTACGACAGCGTGTTCCAGTTCCCGCCAATATCCAGCAACTTTGCACAGCCATTGAAGAGGAGTGGGACAACATTACACAGGCCACAATCAAACAGCCTGGTCAATTCTGTGAAGGATATCTCGTGCTGCATAAGGCAAATTGTGGTCACATCAGATACTGACTGGTTTTCTGATCCACACCCCTACTTAAAAAAAAAAAGAGGTATCTGTGACCAACAGATGCATATCTGTATTCCCAGTCATGTGAAATCTATAGATTAAGGCCTAATGAATTTATTTCAATTGACTGATTTCCTTATATGAACTGTAACTTTGAAATTGTTGCATGTTGTGTTTTTATATTTTTGTTCAGTATGGGTAGAGCACACCAAGGACGCTCTGAATTATCAGCACTCTGTCTCTCATATACACTACACAAAACCCTTACTTCCCCATGTGCTCCCCCTTCTTTCACTCCCCCCTCCCTCCCTCCGTCTCGTTTCATTTTTGGTCTGCGGCAGGCGCCGCGTGTATATTGAATGTCGTAGGGTCACTCAGAGAGCCGGAGAATTTAGTCACATCCGAGAGAGCAAATTCCCACTCCTGAGGTAGTTCAGTCAGCTGAGGTTTGGTGTGTGTGTAAGCCTTTACTTATTTATTTATCTCTTCTAATTCATTTGTGCTTTTTTTTATCCCCCCCCCTTCCCGGAAATTGCACTGTTGCTGTGGTAATTGGCCTGATAGTCATCTGTAATGGTGTTAAGTGAATCATCCAATTATAATTTCTTATCTGGGTATACCAGTTGGAGAAAGTGCAGACACACACACACAAATCTCTTCCTCTCCTGCTGCATCCATCACAAGACCAACTCCTGACGCCGCTCTTAAAACGCAGAGCCGCCTTGGTGCTGTAAAAACAGACAAACAAAACAGTGTTCCTGGAAGGAGGCGTGTCATCATACTGTTCTTTATTCAGACAACGGGTTTGTTTGCTTTGTCACACAGACCAGAACAGGTACAGTAAACTAGACAAGGACATAGAGGGCATTCGGTTCATCATTGTAGGCTTAGCCAGACTCCACTATAAGACTACAAATCCCATCATCACCGTTACCTTCATCTGTGCCCTCTGAAATGCTGGGATTGTTTTGTAGGCTAAGGGGAAGCTGGTTAGGGATTTGCAACAGGACTTCAATCAACCTTGAAATAAAACTGGACACAACACTTTGAGGTCAGTTGCTGACTAAGCCCACCACTGCATCAGCCCTGGTTGATTTATCCCCCCCCCCCCCCCCCCCCCCCCCCCGACTCCATTCTGGTTGATTTATCAACCCCTCCCCCCCCCCCCAACCCCTGACTCCATTCCGATTGATTTACTTTCTGTTTGAAAATAACGGAATGCTCTTGGTTCAGAACTTTTTTTATTTTCATACTGTCTGCGTTTTGAATGGCTGGAGGACGTGAACTCCGTTGTGGCCAATGGCTGAGAGAGAGGACTGGAGTCTTCATGTGGTCATGCTTTTCTCTCTGTCATCATCATGTCTGACCCACATAGCTGTATGACTGCTACAGCCCGTCCTCCCCTGCCTCTTACCTCCCCCTGTTCCAGCCTCTGGCACTTTGTCTCATCGTTGGATTAATGCTGCTCAACTGTACATGGACACACAAACACACACACACCACACCCAGCTATTAGTGTTTCCCTTCTCTTCCCTTGTCGCCTGCCCATTCTTCCCAGGGAAGAATAGAAAGGGAGGGAGAGAGCTGAGATAGCTGTGCAGACTCTCCAGCACTGCAGGCTCAGACAGCAGCCATATTCACAGCACATTCTGGCGTGCCATGTAACGATGCCAGACAACTAGTTCACTTCGTTTGGTGGGCGCACATGGATAGGCTCCTTGGAACTCATTGTCCGCTTTCCCCACATGCATGCAGCGACTAACCCACGACATACGCCGACTATACCCGTGATAAGCGACTTATACCACAGCATACAACCAGTATCCCGTGCATAAACAGAGTATAACCCCACGTGAGCACAGAGCATTCCCACTCCGCCAGCTTAATCCCCACGTGACTACACCAGACAATTCCCGAATGAGCGGTTTCCCAACTCTCCCAGACTATAACCCCACACGTGATGACACCAGGTAATCCACATAAACAGCTATATACCACACTGACACAACCAGATATAATATCCACAGTGCGAGCAGATAACTCCGTGCATGTCCAGACTATAATCCCCCAACAGTACATGACAGACCAGACTAAATACCCACACGTGACATGACAGACCAGAGCTATAATCTCCACACATTACTGACGACCAGGCTTAATACCCCCACAGTGACATACAGACCAGGAGCTATAATACCCAACAGTGACTGATAGACCAGAGCTATAATACCCCACACATGACATGACAACCAGGAGCTATATCCCACACATACATGGCGACCAGGAGCTATAAGTTACCCCTACACCAGTGACATGACAGACCAGGAGTATAATACCCCACACATGACATGACAGACTCCAGAGCTAAATACCCCACCTGACATGACAGACCAGACTATAATACCCACACAGTGACATGACAGACCAGGAGCTATAATACCCACACAGTGACATGACAGACCAGGAGCTATAATCTCCACACAGTGACATGACAGACCAGGAGCTATAATACCCCACACAGTGACATGACAGACCAGGAGCTATAATACCCACACAGTGACATGACAGACCAGGAGCTATAATACCCCACACAGTGACATGACAGACCAGGAGCTATAATACCCCACACAGTGACATGACAGACCAGGAGCTATAATACCCCACACAGTGACATGACAGACCAGGAGCTATAATACCCCACACAGTGACATGACAGACCAGGAGCTATAATACCCCACACAGTGACATGACAGACCAGGAGCTATAATACCCCACACAGTGACATGACAGACCAGAGCTATAATACCCCAACACAGTGACATGATAGACCAGGAGCTATAATACCCCACACAGTGACATGACAGACCAGGAGCTATAATACCCCACACAGTGACATGACAGACCAGGAGCTATAATACCCCACACAGTGACATGAAGACCAGGACAGGACTATAATAACCCCACACAGTGACATGACAGACCAGGAGCTATAATACCCCACACAGTGACATGATAGACCAGGAGCTATAATACCCCACACAGTGACATGATAGACCAGGAGCTATAATACCCACACAGTGACATGAAGACCAGGAGCTATAATACTCCACACAGTGACATGAAGACCAGGAGCTATAATACCCCACACAGTGACATGAAGACCAGACATAATACCCCACACAGTGACATCAGCCAGAGCATAATACCCACACAGGACATGACAGACCAGGAGCTATAATACCCCACACAGACATGACGAGCCAGGAGCTATAATACTCCACCAGTGACATGACAGACCAGGAGCTATAATACCCACACAGTGACATGAAGACCAGGACTATAATACCCCACACAGTGATGACAGACCAGGAGCTATAATACCTCCACACAGTGACATGACAGACCAGGACTATAATACCCCACACAGTGACATGACAGACCAGGAGCTATAATACCCCACACAGTGACATGACAGACCAGGAGCTATAATACCCCACACAGTGACATGAAGACCAGGAGCTATAATACCCCACACAGTGACATGACAGACCAGGAGCTATAATACCCACACAGTGACATGAACACCAGGAGCTATAATACTCCACACAGTGACATGACAGACCAGGAGCTATAATACCCCACACAGTGACATGACAGACCAGGAGCTATAATACCCCACACAGTGACATGACAGACCAGGAGCTATAATACCCCACACAGTGACATGACAGACCAGGAGCTATAATACCCCACACAGTGACATGACAGACCAGGAGCTATAATACCCCACACAGTGACATGACAGACCAGGAGCTATAATACCCCACACAGTTGACATGACAGACCAGGAGCTATAATACCCCACACAGTGACATGACAGACCAGGAGCTATAATACTCCACACAGTGACATGACAGACCAGGAGCTATAATACCCCACACAGTGACATGACAGACCAGGAGCTATAATACTCCACACAGTGACATGACAGACCAGGAGCTATAATACCCCACACAGTGACATGACAGACCAGGAGCTATAATACCCCACACAGTGACATGACAGACCAGGAGCTATAATACTCCCACACAGTGACATGACAGACCAGGAGCTCTACAGTGACATGACAGACCAGGAGCTATAATACCCCACACAGTGACATGACAGACCAGGAGCTATAATACCCCACACAGTGACATGACAGACCAGGAGCTATAATACCCCACACAGTGACATGACAGACCAGGAGGCTATAATACTCCACACAGTGACATGACAGACCAGGAGCTATAATACTCCCACCAGTGACATGACAGACCAGGAGCTATAATACCCCACACAGTGACATGACAGACCAGGAGCTATAATACCCCACACAGTGACATGACAGACCAGGAGCTATAATACCCCACACAGTGACATGACAGACCAGGAGCTTATAATACCCCACACAGTGACATGACAGACCAGGAGCTATAATACCCCACACAGTGACATGACAGACCAGGAGCTATAATACCCCACACAGTGACATGACAGACCAGGAGCTATAATACTCCACACAGTGACATGACAGACCAGGAGCTATAATACTCCACACAGTGACATGACAGACCAGGAGCTATAATACCCCACACAGTGACATGACAGACCAGGAGCTATAATACCCCACACAGTGACATGACAGACCAGGAGCTATAATACCCCACACAGTGACATGACAGACCAGGAGCTATAATACCCCACACAGTGACATGACAGACCAGGAGCTATAATACTCCCACACAGTGACATGACAGACCAGGAGCTATAATACTCCCACACAGTGACATGACAGACCAGGAGCTATAATACCCCACACAGTGACATGATAGACCAGGAGCTATAATACCCCACACAGTGACATGACAGACCAGGAGCTATAATACCCCACACAGTGACATGACAGACCAGGAGCTATAATACCCCACACAGTGACATGACAGACCAGGAGCTATAATACCCCACACAGTGACATGACAGCCAGGAGCTATAATACCCCACACAGTGACATGACAGACCAGGAGCTATAATACCCCACACAGTGACATGACAGACCAGGAGCTATAATACTCCACACAGTGACATGACAGACCAGGAGCTATAATACTCCACACAGTTGACATGGACAGACCAGGAGCTATAAATACTCCACCACAGTGACATGATAGACCAGGAGCTATAATACCCCACACAGTGACATGACAGACCAGGAGCTATAATACCCCCACACAGTGACATGAACAGACCAGGAGCTATAATACCCCACACAGTGACATGACAGACCAGGAGCTATAATACCCCACACATTGGACATGACATACCAGGAGCTATAATACTCCACACGTGACATGACAGACCAGGAGCTATAATACTCCACACAGTGACATGATAGACCAGGAGCTATAATACCCCACACAGTGACATGACAGACCAGGAGCTATATACCCCACACAGTGACATGATAGACCAGGAGCTATAATACTCCACACAGTGGACATGACAGACCAGGAGCTATAATACTCCACACAGTGACATGACAGACCAGTGAGCTTAATACTCCACACAGTGACATGACAGACCAGAGCTATAATACTCCACACAGTGACATGACAGACCAGGAGCTTAATACTCCACACAGTGACATGACAGACCAGGAGCTATAATACTCCACACAGTGACATGAAGACCAGGAGCTATAATACCCACACAGTGACATGACAGACCAGGAGCTATAATACCCCACACAGTGAACATGACAGACCAGGAGCTATAATACCCCACACAGTGACATGAAGACCAAAAGCTATAATACCCCACACAGTGACATGACAGACCAGGAGCTATAATACTCCACACAGTGACATGACAGCCCAGGAGCTATAATACCCCACAGTGACATGACAGACCAGGAGCTATAATACCCCACACGAGTGACCATGACAACCAGAGCTATAATACCCACACAGTGACATGACAGACCAGGAGCTATAATACCCCACACAGTGACATGACAGACCAGGAGCTATAATACCCCACACAGTGACATGACAAGACCAGGCTATAGACCCCACACAGTGACCATGACAGACCAGGAGCTATAATACCCCACACAGTGACATGACAGACCAGGAGCTATAATACCCCACACAGTGACATGACAGACCAGGAGCTATAATACCCCACACAGTGACATGACAGACCAGGAGCTATAATACCCCACACACAGTGACATGATAACCAGGAGCATAATACCCCACACAGTGACATGACAGACCAGGAGCATAATACCCCACACAGTGACATGACAGACCAGGAGCTATAATACCCCACACAGTGACATGAAGACCAGGAGCTATAATACCCCACACAGTGACATGACAGACCAGGAGCTATAATACCCACACAGTGACATGAAGACCAGGAGCTATAATACCCCACACAGTGACATGACAGACCAGGAGCTATAATACCCACACAGTGACATGACAGACCAGGAGCTATAATACCCACACAGTGACATGACAGACCAGGAGCTATAATACCCCACACAGTGACATGAAGACCAGGAGCTATAATACCCACACAGTACATGACAGACCAGGAGCTATAATACCCCACACAGTGACATGACAGACCAGGAGCTATAATACCCACACAGTGACATGCAGACCAGGAGCTATAATACCCCACACAGTGACATGACAGACCAGGAGCTATAATACCCCACACAGTGACATGACAGACCAGGAGCTATAATACCCCACACAGTGACATGACAGACCAGGAGCTATAATACCCCACACAGTGACATGACAGACCAGGAGCTATAATACCCCACACAGTGACATGACAGACCAGGAGCTATAATACCCCACACAGTGACATGACAGACCAGGAGCTATAATACCCCACACAGTGACATGACAGACCAGGAGCTATAATACCCCACACAGTGACATGACAGACCAGGAGCTATAATACTCCACACAGTGACATGACAGACCAGGAGCTGTAGGCTACTAATGTGATTGAGCCATTCAGCTTCATGCAGCGATCTGTCGTTAGGCACGTCAACACACAGGATTGATTGTCGGCTACAGAAATAGAAACGGCCCGGGCTATATCTATAATTCTTTGTATTCTATTTGTAAGTTATCCTACGGAGTTCCTAGCGCTCTGGCCAGTGCGGCCTTTGGGTGCCGTTGTCGGTCAACTCCGGTGAACTGTTCATAGTTTAGTTGGTTCCTACGGTAGATCGTAGTTTAGTTGGTTCCTACGGTAGATCGTAGTTTAGTTGGTTCCTACGGTAGATCGTAGTTTAGTTGGTTCCTACGGTAGATCGTAGTTTAGTTGGTTCAGTAGCCTATGTTGTGTTTTTGTGTGTGGTGTATCTGATCCTTTGCCCCTTTTCTCCCCCCTCGCCTCTCCCCCGTGCAGTGAGCATGTCTGCAGATTCGTTTGGCGCCGGGGGCAGCGATGCCCAGCAGAGCCTACAGTCCTTCTGGCCCCGCGTCATGGAAGAGATCAGGAACCTCACGGTGGTATGTCACGGCCTTCCTCTGATTGAACGCATGCACGCTCACACACACACACACACACACACACACACACACACACACACCTCTCACAAGTGGTTTTTCACATGACCTGCCCCTAACACCCCTTGGCTCTGTTCCAGAAGGATTTCCGCGTGCAGGAGTTGCCTCTCGCCCGAATCAAGAAAATCATGAAGCTGGATGAAGATGTGAAGGTAGGAGGCGGGGCTTACACACCACAGGTCCCCGCCCTCTATGATGTCTTCATCAACACCCCATTCAGATGACAAAACATGGTATTTTGGAGCTGAGGTGTGGCTACACGGCTGGCTGAAATGAACACGGCATCCATTAGCTCATTGTGTAGGAAACATTTTGACTTGGCATGTTATTTGCAATCTTACCTCCTATGTTGAGTCCCACATCACATTCTATGTTGATGTATACATGCTGACCCCATTAGATCATCATCAGCTTATCACTCTGCAGAGCTATTCCTGCTCTGCTGTGCTCTGAGAGGACAGGCATGGGGAGTGTATGTCCAGGGAGGGCTCCTCCTAAGAGAGATAAGCAGTAGCAGCTTAAGTGTGAGGAGGAAGGAGATCAGCAGATCACTAACAGGCTGTACATCTAGCAGGAACCCTTCTGCTAGCCATGATGCAGTGTGAGAGAGAACGAAGGTTTAATGTTAGCCATGACACAGCAGCTCCTCAGCCTGCTGCCTGCCTCCCCGACCACCTCCCCGCCAACTTCTAAATGTCACTCGGTGGAAAGGTTTTCAAAAGGTTAGGTCTCTCCCCTTTAGCCGATCTATTCAGCCCTATCTAGCTGTGTAGGTTTGTGAGTGTGTGACAGGTAGTAGAAGTTGTAGTGTGTGTGTGTGTGTGTGTGTGTGTGTGTGTATCTGTTTCCTGTGTTTGTGTTCCCTGTTTCCCCTTAGTTTTAACATCTCATCTCAATGTCTCCATAGATGATCAGTGCAGAGGCTCCGGTGCTGTTTGCCAAGGCAGCTCAGATCTTCATCACAGAGCTCACGCTGAGGGCCTGGATCCACACTGAAGACAACAAGAGACGCACCCTACAGGTCAGTCACACCCACCCTAGTGTGTATAGAGGTCACACGCACATTCACACAGACGGCACATGCAGTCTGCTGACCCAAGTTCATGTGTAAAGACCACACACGCGCAGTGTGCTGGTCCCAGTGTGTGTGTATAGAGGCCCCACACTGCCATCCCCTGATGACCTGCTCTGTTAAATTCCTTCTCTCCATCGACTGTGAAAGCAGAGCTCGGCTCCTGTGACCCACTTTTACTCCCAACGCCATTTTGCCTGCTCTCTGATCCCAGAGCCAGGGGAATGACATGGATCCTGGAGTGATGAAAGGGAAGGAGAATGATGGAGAGAGTGGGAAAGAGGGAGAGTGCCAAAGTGAGAGAATGAGGGAGAGCGAGGGAATGGGTGGGCAAGAGGGAGGGAGGAGAGGGAGAGAGAGACAAAGTGAAAGCGGTTGTGAGAGAGAGTGTGGGAGAGAAGGGAGAGAGAGAAAGAGAGAGAGACGTTGAAGAGAGAGAAAAGAGAGTGTTGATCAGAGTGGTTTGGAAAGCCAGGGCCAGTCAGCCTGTGTGTTAGAGGGTAGACCAGCCTGGGTGTTAGAGGGAAGACTAGCTGGGTGTTAGAGGGAAAGACTAGCCTGGGTGTTAGAGGGAAGACTAGCCTGGGGTTAGAGGGAAGACGCCTGGGGTTAGAGGGAGTACCGTGGGTGTTAGAGGGAAGACTAGCCTGGGTGTTAGAGGGTAGCAGCCTGGGTGTTAGAGGGTAACACTGCCGGGTGTTAGAGGGTAGACCAGCCTGGGTTTAGAGGGTAGACCAGCCTGGGTGTTAGAGGGAGACTAGCCTGGGTGTTAGAGGGTAGACCAGCCTGGGTGTTAGAGGGAAGACTAGCCTGGGTGTTAGAGGGAAGACTAGCCTGGGTGTTAGAGGGTAGACCAGCCTGGGTGTTAGAGGGAAGACTAGCCTGGGTGTTAGAGGGAAGACTAGCCTGGGTGTTAGAGGGTAGACCACCTGGGTGTTAGAGGGAAGACAGCCTGGGTGTAAGCAGGTAGACCAGCTGGTGTTAAAGGAATGCTCGGTTGTTTGAGGTAAGACTTACCGGTGTTAGAGGTAGACCTGTGCCTTGTGTGTGTGGGCCATGCCTGGGTGTAAGGGTAGCCTGGGTGTTAGAGGGAAGACCAGCCGGGTTGTAGAGGGACTAGCCTGGGTGTTAGAGGGAAGACCAGCCTGGGTGTTAGAGGGTAGACTAGCCAGTGTGTTAGAGGGTAGACCAGCCAGTCAGTCACACACTGAAACATTAAAACGGAGTGCCTCAGTTCTTTCTTTCTTCAACCATTAACATACCTCTGAGTTTGTGTGTCTTTCTCCGTGTGTGTGTGTGTCCATGTGTGTGTGGGATACTGCTTTGCACAATATCTTGGCAAATTCTGTCCTTCAAAATGTCTTCCATAACAGTGGGGCTGAATTACCAAGTCAACTCACACTCCTACAAATTCAGAGTGAAAGCGTCATTCGGTTGAGCTTTGTTAACCTCGAAATAGAATGCCAATTCGTTATGTTAATTACATTTCTACACCACAGATGGTGATACATGTCTGGCGTATGCTCCTAGTCTGTGTGTGGTGTTAATAAGACAGCTCTGCTTGCAATCACACTCAATCTCTCTCACACACACACACACACTCCGGCTCTCGCCAGAGTTCCATTGTGCTGACAGCACGCCGATTAGGGTCACCATGGTGACGTGCATCAATATAACAACTGTGGATGTGACCCGGTGTTACCAGATATTAATCACAGTGCTATAAATAGACTTTGATGGGGGGGGGGACTTAATATCCTGTGGAAAATCACACACATACACACACTCACTCTAGAAGGGTGGGCCCGGTAGGACAGTGATGCTAAGAATACGTCACTCAACTTCCAATGTCCTTCATCTGGTGTTTCTTACAGTGGGCCCATTCTTGCTGTTTTTTTACATGGTGAATGTTAGGGCTGGGAATTGCCAGGGACCTCACGATATGATATTATCACGATACATAGATGCCGCTCAATATTTAAAAGAAGGAGAAAAAGCTATAGGATGAAAAATAGTTTTGCCGCAGGTACAGCCGACTAGCGCTAGCAAACGCTACCTAGCAAAAACAATTATTTATATATACAGTGGGGAAAAAAAGTATTTAGTCAGCCACCAATTGTGCAAGTTCTCCCACTTAAAAAGATGAGAGAGGCTTGTAATTTTCATCATAGGTACACGTCAACTATGACAGACAAATTGAGGGGAAAAAATCCAGAAAATCACATTGTAGGATTTTTAATGAATTTATTTGCAAATTATGGTGGAAAATAAGTATTTGGTCACCTACAAACAAGCAAGATTTCTGGCTCTCACAGACCTGTAACTTCTTCTTTAAGAGGCTCCTCTGTCCTCCACTCGTTACCTGTATTAATGGCACCTGTTTGAACTTGTTATCAGTATAAAAGACACCTGTCCACAACCTCAAACAGTCACACTCCAAACTCCACTATGGCCAAGACCAAAGAGCTGTCAAAGGACACCAGAAACAAAATTGTAGACCTGCACCAGGCTGGGAAGACTGAATCTGCAATAGGTAAGCAGCTTGGTTTGAAGAAATCAACTGTGGGAGCAATTATTAGGAAATGGAAGACATACAAGACCACTGATAATCTCCCTCGATCTGGGGCTCCACGCAAGATCTCACCCCGTGGGGTCAAAATGATCACAAGAACGGTGAGCAAAAATCCCAGAACCACACGGGGGGACCTAGTGAATGACCTGCAGAGAGCTGGGAACAATGTAACAAAGCCTACCATCAGTAACACACTACGCCGCCAGGGACTCAAATCCTGCAGTGCCAGACGTGTCCCCCTGCTTAAGCCAGTACATGTCCAGGCCCGTCTGAAGTTTGCTAGAGTGCATTTGGATGATCCAGAAGAGGATTGGGAGAATGTCATATGGTCAGATGAAACCAAAATATAACTTTTTGGTAAAAACTCAACTCGTCGTGTTTGGAGGACAAAGAATGCTGAGTTGCATCCAAAGAACACCATACCTACTGTGGAGCATGGGGGTGGAAACATCATGCTTTGGGGCTGTTTTTCTGCAAAGGGACCAGGACGACTGATCCGTGTAAAGGAAAGAATGAATGGGGCCATGTATCGTGAGATTTTGAGTGAAAACCTCCTTCCATCAGCAAGGGCATTGAAGATGAAACGTGGCTGGGTCTTTCAGCATGACAATGATCCCAAACTCACCGCCTGGGCAACGAAGGAGTGGCTTCGTAAGAAGCATTTCAAGGTCCTGGAGTGGCCTAGCCAGTCTCCAGATCTCAACCCAATAGAAAATCTTTGGAGGGAGTTGAAAGTCCGTGTTGCCCAGCGACAGCCCCAAAACATCACTGCTCTAGAGGAGATCTGCATGGAGGAATGGGCCAAAATACCAGCAACAGTGTGTGAAAACCTTGTGAAGACTTACAGAAAACGTTTGACCTGTGTCATTGCCAACAAAGGGTATATAACAAAGTATTGAGAAACTTTTGTTATTGACCAAATACTTATTTTCCACCATAATTTGCAAATAAATTCATAAAAAATCCTACAATGTGATTTTCTGGAATTTTTTTTCTCATTTTGTCTGTCATAGTTGACGTGTACCTATGATGAAAATTACAGGCCTCTCTCATCTTTTTAAGTGGGAGAACTTGCACAATTGGTGGCTGACTAAATACTTTTTTCCCCCACTGTGTGTGTGTGTGTATGTGTATATATATATATATATATATATATATATATATATATATATATATATATATATATATATATATATATATATATAATATATTTGATACACTGCCGATTTTGCAGGTTTTCCTACTTACAAAGCATGTAGAGGTCTGTAATTTTTATCATAGGTACACTTCAACTGTGAGAGACGGAATCTAAAACGAAAATCCAGAAAATCACATTGTATGATTTTTTAAAGTAATTCATTTGCATTTTATTGCATGACATAAGTATTTGATCAACTACCAACCAGTAAGAATTCCGGCTCTCACAGACCTGTTAGTTTTTCTTTAAGAAGCCCTCCTGTTCTCCACTCATTACCTGAATTAACTGCACCTGTTTGAACTCGTTACCTGTATAAAAGACACCTGTCCACACACTCAATCAAACAGACTCCAACCTCTCCACAATGGCCAAGACCAGAGAGCTGTGTAAGGACATCAGGGATAAAATTGTAGACCTGCACAAGGCTGGGATGGGCTACAGGACAATAGGCAAGCAGCTTGGTGAGAAGGCAACAATTGTTGGCGCAATTATTAGAAAATGGAAGAAGTTCAAGATGACGGTCAATCACCCTCGGTCTGGGGCTCCATGCAAGATATCACCTCGTGGGGCATCAATGATCATGAGGAAGGTGAGGGATCAGCCCAGAACTACACGGCAGGACCTGGTCAATGACCTAAAGAGAGCTGGGACAGTCTCAAAGAAAATCATTAGTAACACACTACGCCGTCATGGATTAAAATCCTGCAGTGCACGCAAGGTCCCCCTGTTCAAGCCAGCGCATGTCCAGGCCCGTCTGAAGTTTGCCAATGACCATCTGGATGATCCAGAGGAGGAATGGGGGAAGGTCATGTGGTCTGATGAGACAAAAATAGAGCTTTTTGGTCTAAACTCCACTCAATGTGTTTGGAGGAAGAAGGATGAGTACAACCCCAAGAACACCATCCCAACCGTGAAGCATGGAGGTGGAAACATCATTCTTTGGGGATGCTTTTCTGCAAAGGGGACAGGACGACTGCACCGTATTGAGGGGAGGATGGATGGGGCCATGTATTGCGAGATTTTGGCCAACAACCTCCTTCCCTCAGTAAGAGCATTGAAGATGGCTCGTGGCTGGGTCTTCCAGCCTGACAACGACCCGAAACACACAGCCAGGGCAGCTAAGGAGTGGCTCCGTAAGAAGCATCTCAAGGAGTGGCCTAGCCAGTCTCCGGACCTGAACCCAATAGAAAATCTTTGGAGGGAGCTGAAAGTCCGTATTGCCCAGCGACAGCCCTGAAACCTGAAGGATCTGGAGAAGGTCTGTATGGAGGAGTGGGACAAAATCCCTGCTGCAGTGTGTGCAAACCTGGTCAAGACCTACAGGAAACGTATGATCTCTGTAATTGCAAACAAAGGTTTCTGTACCAAATATTAAGTTCTGCTTTTCTGATGTATCAAATACTTATTTCATGCAATAAAATGCAAATTAATTACTTCAAAATCATACAATGTGATTTTCTGGATTTTTGTTTTAGATTCCGTCTCTCACAGTTGAAGTGTACCTATGATAAACATTACAGACCTCTACATGCTTTGTAAGTAGTAAAACCTGCAAAATCGGCAGTGTATCAAATACTTGTTCTCCCCAATGTATATACACTTTTTACTAATCAATACTTGGAGTCAAAGTATCGATATATCATCCAAACAAATATTGCAATATGTAACTATTGATTTTTTTCCCCCCCCTTGTCCATCACTAGTGAATGTTGTGTGGTTGAAGTAGGCAAAGCCTTTTACAGTTCCACTGTGAGCAAGCTCCTTTTAGTATTATTTACAGAGCTGCAGAATGTTCGAGTTTGACCTAGAAGTTTATATAAACTGTATTTTCTTCAATCGTTTTCAAAAAGGCTATATTTGGAGATAGCAGCAGAAGTGGAAAGCCGTTTTTATATTTAGTCTAGTTTCTGCATATACTGAATGAGGAGCCTAATGTTCACCCTCAACTCTTATCCTGTGTTGCAGAGGAATGACATTGCCATGGCGATAACAAAGTTCGACCAGTTTGACTTCCTCATCGACATCGTGCCCCGGGATGAACTCAAGCCCCCCAAACGACAGGTAGTGTGTGTGTGTGTGTGTGTGTGTCCATATGCATTTCATTTCAGTACACCGGCAGGGTGTAGTACCACTTCTGGCAGACTGGAGGCGCTGTAAACATCCTTGACTGGAAGCTGTTGTTCGGTCAGCGAGGGCTTTCAGTCGGATGTTTGCAGCGTCTGGCTGCCCCTTACCTCCAACATCCCTCAACCATACCACCAATACACCACCATAGCCTCTAATTTCCAAACACTACCACCAATACCCCAAAGCATGTATTCACTATCAACATAATCACCACTGTGTTAACTGATGCCCTCTGCCACATTACAGTCCTAACTCAGTTTGATGGTGGTACATGTTTTAGACTAGGCAGGGCCTCCCAAGCATTTCTAAGTTGTGACTTACCTAAAATGATGGTATTCTATCAGTAGATCCGTAGATCAATACACTAGTTCACCAGATCTGTGGCCAGGGGTGTAAACATCCTACACTCTCAGCTGTGACATCATCGAGCTGGGAGAGGGGTGTTTACGCTTCTGGTGACGGGGAATCGGCTACCTTCTACGCTACCCCTGGAAGATCAACCAACCAGTAGCTTTTAGGGAACTGTTACCCTGTACTTCTGATGAGGACGAGGCCTTTAGTATACTTCGGAGCACAAAGAAGCATGGAAGCTTGTATCGCTGTGGCATTTCATTAACTGGCAGTGATTCTTGGCTGTATATTATGAAAACAAGCATGTAACCTCTGTGCCTAGTTAATGGTTGACCAAATTTCCAATGTGTCACTAAATTAGCTTTCCATTCACAGTTTATGATTAGAACATTCTCAATAGTGTATCAAGGCCTTGTTTTTTATGAATGGAAATGATCCCTTTCAGTCAGAAGAGTTCTTGTGAAACATTTTGTTGTTAGGTTGTGAAAATCCATTGTCCTGACAAATACCCGTAAGGCCTTGAGCCTGAGTGTTTTCCACTGTGATCATCACAGTGCTAATGCATTTACTTTATATTCGTATTCTTATCTTTTCTTATTGTTGCATTGTCGAGAAGGAACCTGCAAGTAAGCATTTCGTTGGACGATGTATACCATGTGTATTCCGTACATAAGACTAATAAAATGGGAAAGTAATGGATGCTCTGGCTGTGTCCCAAATGGCACCCTATAAAGTGCACTACTTTTGACCAGGGCCTATAGGGCAGACCCATAGGGTCCTGTTCAAAAGTAGTGCACTACCTAGGTAATATGGTGCCCTTTGGGACACATCCTCCATTCAGAATCACATTACTCATCCAGAGCTTATCAGTTATTTATTGGACCTCTCACCTATTGTATTACGCTGACAAAATAATTCATGGAGATGTAATGGACTGATATGCCTCTCTCTCTTCCTTTCACTCTGTTATCCTCTCTCTCTCTTTCTCTCTCTCGCTCTCGCTCTCCCCCCCTCGCTCTCTCTCTCTTCCTGTCTCTCTCTCGGTCTCTCTCTCTCTTGCCCTCTCTCTTCCATTCTTACTCTCTCTCTCTCTCTCCCGGTCTTGCTCTTTGTCGCTCTCTCTTCCTGTGTGTGTGTACAGGAGGAGGTGCGTCAGTCGGTGGCCCCAGCAGAGCCGGTCCAGTACTACTTCACCCTGGCTCAGCAGCCAGGCCAGGTCCAGGGCCAGGTCCAGGGCCAACAGGCCACAGCACAACAGGCTACCACCATCCAGCCTGGACAGATCATCATCGCACAGCCACAGCAAGGACAGGTACGCTGGAGAACAGACACACAACGCACCACACAGACCACAAATAACCAGTACCACCATACAGCGTAGGCAAAGGCATATTATAAACTGGGTGGTTCAAGCCCTGAATGCGTATTGGCTGACAGCCGTGGTATATCAGACCGTATACAAGGGGTCTGACAAAACATGTATTTTTTACTGCTCTAATTACGTTGGTAACCAGTTTATAATAGCAATAAGGCACCTCGGGAGTTTGTGGTATATGGCCAATATACCATGGCTAAGGGCTGTATCCAGGCACTCCGCATTGTGTCATGCTTAAGAACAGCCCTTAGCCGTGGTATATTGGCCATAAACCACACTCCCTCGGGCCTTATTGCTTAAGTTTAACACACCATGACACAGCCTGCAGAACACAAGCTCTCCTAACACTCCCAGTCAACAACCCTCTCCAACCCTGTGAAGTCCACTATGAAATGGTGTGAATGGGGTAATAACAGTATTAACAGTGGATTTTATTGATATTATCCTTGGTAAGCACAGCCGATCCCCACTCTGGCCTCAACTCTTTCCCACCAGCAGGGATGATTGACCGTACACACTCAGCACCCCCACACTCCCAGCTATACAAGCAGTGACTGAAGAGAGGGGAGTGACTGAAGTGTGCAGATCAAATGGCTCTGTACCACTGCTTGTATAGCTGGGAGTCCCTGTGAGACTGCTCTCCACCCCTCTACTGTACTTCTCTCTGAAGAGGAGGAACATCTAGGTAACCAGATGGGTGGGTTGCCCCCTCATCCCTAGTCTGTTTGGTCCCCCCCATCCCTAGTCTGTCTTAATTTCTGGTCCACCCCCCCCCCCCCCCCCCCTCCATCCCTAGTCTGTCTTCTTCCCTGGTCCCCTCATCCCTAGTCTGTCTTCTCCCCTGGTCCCCTCATCCCTAGTCTGTCTTCATCCCTAGTCTGTCTTCTTCCCTGGTCCCCTCATCCCTAGTCTGTCTTCTTCCCTGGTCCCCTCATCCCTAGTCTGTCTTCTTCCCTGGTCCCCTCATCCCTAGTCTGTCTTCTTCCCTGGTCCCCTCATCCCTAGTCTGTCTTCTTCCCTGGTCCCCTCATCCCTAGTCTGTCTCTTCCCTGGTCCCCTCATCCCTAGTCTGTCTTCATCCCTGGTCCCCTCATCCCTAGTCTGTCTTCTTCCCTGGTCCCCTCATCCCTAGTCTGTCTTCATCCTGGTCCCCTCATCCTAGTCTGTCTTCTTCCCTGGTCCCCTCATCCCTAGTCTGTCCTCTTCCCTGGTCCCCTCATCCCTAGTCTGTCTTCTTCCCTGGTCCCCTCATCCCTAGTCTGTCTTCTCCCCTGGTCCCCTCATCCCTAGACTGTCTTCTTCCCTGGTCCCCTCATCTCTAGTCTGTCTTCATCCCTGGTCCCTCATCCCTAGTCTGTCTTCTTTCCCTGGTCCCCTCATCCCTAGTCTGTCTTCATCCCTGGTCCCCTCATCCCTAGTCTGTCTTCTTCCCTGGTCCCCTCATCCCTAGTCTGTCTTCTTCCCTGGTCCCCTCATCCCTAGTCTGTCTTCTCCCCTGGTCCCCTCATCCCTAGTCTGTCTTTTTCTTTTTTGTTCTCTTTCTCTTCTCCATTCTTTTCTCTCCGTCTCTCTCTTTCTCCCCCCCGTACTCTCTGTCTAGTGTGTTCTCTCTCCTGGCTGATCAGTGCTGCTTCAGCAGGCTGCCTTACGTTTGTTGAGCTGTCGCAGTTCCACAGTCAGGCTGAGCTGTTACTGTTACTGCTGCTGCTACTGCAGTCCACTTAGTCACAGAGCAGAGCAGGAAAGGTCACCACATGACTGGCACCTTAGAATAGATGACTAGTCCAGGGTGCATCACTACTGGGTAACAGTCAAGAGACCAGGGGTTGGAGGGATGGAAGGATCAGAAGAACAGGCGGATAAAGTGTGATTTTTGAAAGCGGGAGATATCTGGAGATTGAGAGCGAGGGAGGAGGGTGAATAGAGAGAGATCCTAAATCGTATGTGTGTGTGTCTCCAGACTTGCCTGCAAAGAGCTTTGTGTCACTAGTCGTCACTGTTGCACCAGTTCTGTCACATGCCCTATCAGGTCACAAAGTCCCTAATGGACTGATCTGTTAGGAAACAAAACCTAAATTTCCTACTGTAGGATACATCTTTATATTAATTTAACTACCATTTCCTACTGTAGGATACATCTTCATTAACTTCACTATACCTGGATTTCACAGCTGCTATTCCTCCATTGATTCTGCACATACATCACTTCTGCTCTATGCAGCATTTCATTGTGCTCACATGCTCATTGTTGTGTGTGTGTGTGATCTGACGACACCTGTCTGTACTGTATGTGTGTGTGTGTTCCTGTGCGCTCTGCATGTGCTCGTAGTCATCTTTGTAAAGCTTCCTCTCTCTCTCCTCCCTCCTCCCTCCCCTCTTCAGGTGCTGCAGGGGGCCACAATGCAACAGTTACAGCAGGTGCAGGTAGCCCAGTCACAGGGCACACCCATCACGGTAAACTGCCCTCCTCAGCCCCCCCGTCCCTATCTGAAGCCCCCTCCCAGCCCCTATCTGAAGCCCCCTCCCAGCCCCTATCTGAAGCCCCCTCCCAGCCCAGCACCCCTCAGTGTAGGGTAAAGTTGCCCCTGGACGCTGATCTTGGATCCGTTTTTCATTTCTCCCACTAAATGGGTATGGTTAGGATTGGGGGAGGCGATGCTGATCCTAGATCTGATCCTAGTGAAAATTTCCCCCTGGAGGGCACCCCTCCACATTTAATCAGGAAGATTAGGAGGAAGCTTGTGTTTGGCTGCATCACTAGTTCACTGAGTTTACCCCCCCCCCCCCCCCCCCGAGAGCCCTCCTGTCTCTCAGCAGCAGCTGGCTCATTAAAAACAACGTTTTGATTTTTTTATTATCAGGGGTGTTAGTCAGATCTGATCAGCTGTTCCTGGAGAGACTGGGTTGCCTGACACTATCACACCATCGTCTGTCTGCTTGTAGGATGGGGGGGGGGGGGGGTTAAACCCTGCCTTGTCATCTCGCTCTCTCTCTCTGTGGCCCCACTCTGGGCCTAACTGTAATCTACAGGTTTTCCAGCCCAATGTCAATCATTACATGTCACAGTCACCAAACTCTCACCAGTTGTTTAACAATGAACATTCCCCCTCTCCCTCTCCCACCCCCAGAGTGCTCCAATGACCATGCAGGTTGGGGACCAGCAGGTCCAGATAGTACAGGCATCGTCACAGGGCCAGACCCAGACGGTGCAGTCAGGACAGACCATGCAGGTCATGCAGCAGATCCTCACCAACTCCGCCGAGATCCAGCAGATACCAGTAAGAGAGGGGGAGGAGAGGGGAGGGGGATGGATGGAAGAAAGAAGGGAGGATGATGGGGGAGGGATGAATGATGGGTGGAGGGAGTGAGAGAGGAAGGGTCCTTGAGATGGGAGGAATGGAGGTGGGAAGTCTCTCCTCGAGAAAAATAAATAAAATTAATACCACATTTTCTTAAGTTAAATGTTGGAGATCAATCTCCAAACACACTGTAGAGAGCTGGTGAACCTCCCTCTCCCCCATTTTGACACTCTTAACTAACTAGCTCAATGATCATAATGACACTCTGTGTTGTGTATCTATGACCTTCCCAGCCTAAAGTGGGTGTTTGTCTCACCCGTGTGGTGGCTGTGTGCAGGTGCAGCTGAACACTGGTCAGTTGCAGTACATCCGGCTGGCACAGCCTGTCTCTGGCACACAGGTGGTTCAGGGACAGATCCAGACGCTGGGTAACACTCAGCAGGTACAGGTACTGAACAGGAACCTTTTCAATCTATAGTATGATCAGATGTATGTAGACCTCTGTAATGTAGTCTCTGGTTTGGTATCACTATACTAGTATATAAAATAACATTAATGTAGTAACCAATAAAAATGATACGATTCTGTGTATTTTCTATATTGTTTCATGAATTGACTTCTATATTGTCCATTGCCTTCAGTTGCATTTGAACAGAGGTGTAGGTTTTAATAGTGGCTGTGGGAACCACTGTGTGAATGACTGACTCCTCTCTCTCGCTCTCTGGTTTGTTCTCAGATTACACAGACGGAGCAAGGACAGCAGCAATTCAACCAGTTTACTGATGGACAGGTAAGACTAACATCTCTCACTCCTGTCACATACGTACACACACACACACGTACACACACACACACACGTACACACACCCTCTTCTCGCTCTCACCCTCTCCCTCTGTGTCCTTACAGCAGTTGTATCAGATTCAGCAGGTGACGATGCCGGCGGGACAGGACCTGAGCCAGCCCATGTTCATCCAGTCCACCAATCAGACGGCCGACGGACAGGTCACCACGCAGGTCAGCGCAGACTGAGGCTCCGGAAGCATCCGCCTGATCACCCGACCATTGACCACACCACCTGCTACCATCCATAAGGGCAACTGGCTCAAACAGCCAAGGGACCTCCTAGGATGTGTCTCAAATGGCACCCTATTCCCTACACACTATATAGGGAATAGGGTGCAATTTGGGATGTACCTCACTCTCATTCAATACACTGGTCTATGACATGATACTTACAAGGGACTCTCTGACAACAACTGTTCTTTATTCAGTGCACTGGATCAGATACCAAAGGGACTGCCCTACAACTCCCTCTCATTCCCATGTCATATCATCTCTCTGCCTCTGTTATTTCCTCCAGTCACCCACACTCACCTGATACGTTCCCCAGAAAGGCCTCACCTAGTGCCATTCACGACAGCCACACACAGGGTATCCAAACGCTGAATCCTCCAGGACCCCTCTCCCCCTTTTTAGTGACCAACTCTCTGTTTTTCCTCAGTCTGTCAACCCTTGATGTAAAATCTGTATGTCTTCTGTCTCTCTGTGAAGTACACCGTATAGGGGTGTCTTTTATGTTATGTTCTCTGTCTACGTCCCAAATGGCACCCTGTTCCCTATATAATGCACACTTTTTGACCACGGCCTTTAGGGCCCTGGTCAAAAGTAGTTCACTATATAAGGAATAGAGTGCAATTTGGGATGAATCCTATGGAAGGCTTGGCGCTTGTTTGGTCTACAAGAGAACATGAATCATGCGCTTGCGTTGTAAAATCTTAATGTGTAGACTTTTAAAATAAAAAACTATAAAGCCATACTCTAAACTAGCGCACAATAATTAATTGTAAATTGTATGAAAGCCTCACACCAGTCATGATGGGTCAATTAAGAGTTTGTTGTTAGTTCCTCTTAGTTTTTTTCACATTGACAAGACATGCCATCGATGAAAGGGCTTCTAACTGTATGATAGAGTTTGTATTTAGTATGTAAGACCCCTGTGTGAACGTGTGTGTCTCGTTGTTCAATATTGTGCAGTATATCTTCCCTGTGGCCCAGTAATCATACTCACCTCTTCAGAGCCCCCTCTTCCATCTCTCTTCCTTCCCCCTCTCTCATCTCTTCATGAATCACCACACTGATCACTATCATTCTTAGAGCAGGGAGTGGTTAGGCCTTTCTCTGCCTTATATGCAGTCTCTCTTTCCCCTATCCAGAGAGGTTTTTGGTTCTCCTTCCCTGCTATTAGAGAAAGCCTCATGTAAAAAAAAAAAAAAAAAAAAAAAAGACACCACTGGAGCAAAGACTCCTTTTTAGAGCCTTTTCTTAATACCAGTTGTAACTTGTCAAGGTTTGTTTTTGAAATGACCATCCCTCTCCCTCCCCCCTTTCTTACTTAGTAATGATCATTATCATAGTTGTTCTTAGTGTTGTCGTTTTGCATGTAGTTTAAACTGCCAGCATGATATGCAATAGATAGGTACACATTTTATTTTTGTTCTTTTTTGTAAGCAAACTTTGGGTTTGTGAGAAAATTAATAAAATAAATAAAAAAAAGTTTTTCAACCGTTTTTCACCGAACAGTATTTGTTGGGTGAATCTGGTGGTCATCGGCCGTACAGGGTGTTGAAAATGCACGGTGATGAGTTTGATGCGCCTTTACAGTAAATATCGAGGGTCATATTCTGGTGACATGATGATGGATGGTTGACTGCCATTTGAAAAATACTAATATTCTCGATCTTATCCATAATCTAATCATGAAGACTAGCCTACCCGCACAGCCTTCCTGCACTGTATCTGCGAGCTTTTGGCGAGAGCGCACATGCCAAAACCAGAGTTGGCACATTTCCTATTTAACGCAACAATTTTTATGACAAAACTATCTGTAGAGTCAAAAATGCAATGGAAACGCTTTGAACATTATATTTTTTATTTGGTACATGAAAAAGTACATTGTGTGCACTACTTCATCGCGCACTGAATTTTTTCTGCAACAAATCCATTTCGTGGAAACATGCGCATGTTTTCTTAATGGGGATTTTAGAATATTTGTATGAAAATCTGTCGCCATCTGGATGTAAACCTACCTATAGTATTTATCAGTCGGAATAGGTTGGACTTGATTGTGATACATGATGTACAAGTTATTGAGTAGGAATTTCTTGACAAATATCACTTCAAGATATGGGTCCACTGTGTCAATGCACTCTACAACTGTCAGATTTTAATATCGCTCTCTATGGCCTCCAACATCGACAGACAAACTATCCTGAAACCCACAAGGGAAATGGAAAAGAGAGCGCCCATGAAACGCACTGGAGGTGGGAGCTTGATGCAGACGCCAAAAGACCCGGCATGTGATGGAACGAGATTGAGAAGAGCCCAGAACAGAGTGCGATCGAGAAGTGTCGTCGATGGCCTATGCGCCCTGGGGAGTGATGTACCTAAGAAAGTAAGCACTATGGCCACAAGGGGGCGACTCTGGGTTAACTTATCCATACAATGTCCACCCCTAGAGGATCATGCTTCAAGAGCAGAACAATATACTGTAGGTCCTACTGTTTTTTTCTTTCTCTCACTTCTCTACTTCTGGAAAGAGCTGTTCGCTGTGAAAGGGCAAGCAGGTAACAATGGAATCACGAGTTAGTTGGCTGGAGACGGCTCAGCACTTTGGAGATCAGACGTCATTCCTTATCCGACCTAAATCTTAAAAGGAAAAGAGGTAATTAGGCTGGGACAGAAATACAGGGAGAGTGAGACGCATAGTTCCCTCACTTACCTCGAAGAATTGGTCACATAGACCGCAATTTGTCAACAACAATTAATGTTTAAATATATCTTAGATATTTCCCAATAAGAATGATTTATTATTAATTGGGCCCTGTCTATAATCCAAATCAAATTGTATTGGTCACATACACATATTTAGCAGGTGTTATTGCGGGTGTAGCGAAAAGCTTGTGTTTCTAGCTCAAACAGTGCAGTAGTATCTAACAATGTATGAGTAGGGCCAGGAGTTATTCCTGTCTGCGTGACTGACCATGGAAAAACTCCTGGTTGTACTTATTGCTAACCTCCCCAAGCGGCCCAGTGAGTCTAACGTCTAGCTAATGAGAAGATTAGCCCTACCTTTTAGTTTTGAGTGCTCTCCACAATTAAAATCCGTCTGTCAGATAATAGTGCTAGGTTTTTTGTTGGGTCAGTGAGAGTTTGAGGGCTGGAAACCGTTTGTGTTATGTAACAGGTAAACAGTGACGCTATTCCGGTCCATAAACCTACTGGTAGATTGGGACCCATTCCCGTTCTAATCGATTTAAATCACTGAACAATAACTGCATTAATGAGTACAGACTCATGCTTGCCTCTGTCTAATAAGGGGCAATGAGGATTGTGAGAAATGTTTGAGTTTAAGCCGAGCGTGAATAGGATTGACCAACGGTATTTTTCTTTGCTGCCCTGTCCGCTTAGATCAAGGGAACTTTGGAGAGATGAATTACGACCGACTGCTCTGGCTCCACATTGGTTGCGACGTCCCAAGTGGCCACTCTATTCCCTATATAGTGCGCTACTTTTGACCAGAGCCCTATGGGAATCGGGAGCAAATTTGGGACGCACAACCTGGAACTTGTGCTGCGGCCGCCACACCAGCTCATCCCACCAACTTAACCATACTAGACCTTATTAAGACGAGTTGACTTTGAGTTAGATAGATTCTGGTCCATGATGTGTTTGATGGTCTTTATCTTCTTTGAGTTGTGGGAGATCTTGTCATTCTGTGGTTATTCAAGCATCACCTTTACAAGGCCGAAGGTCAGGGGTCAATCCATGATTAACCAACCAGTGGGATTCATTTAGCATGTAGCAGTCTAGTATGGACATAATGTAGTACATGATGTACATAAATGGAATAATCTGATAATAGGGTGATTGTATTTAAGGGCTTTAACTGTTTCTTAGCAGTGTTTTATGAAGACTACTTGGCCTGTTTCAAACTGGACAAAGCTGCGTGGCTCTGGTCAAATCAGGAGCAAAAAGACATGATGCAAGGAACTATCTGTTATCTCTTTACAAGAAATAAAAATACGGTCCGGAGATGTCTCTGTCTACGAGTCCCAAGTGGATCCATAGGCGCAGACTTTTGACTTGGATCGGAGCAAAGACCACCACCGACAGCCGCCCCCACAACACACACCCACACCAACTAACCATACTGTTAGGACCTTATTAAGCGAGGTTGTGGACGGAAGATTGCTGGGCCATGAGGGTCTTGACGGGAGATCTTCTAGTGTGGGAGGCGTCTTCGTGGTTTAAGATCAGCTTTGACAAGGCCGTCGGGTGACGGGGCAATCATGATATGACCAACCATGTGGACCAGTAGCTAGTACGAGGCTTGTGGACGGACATATGTAGTCATGTGTACAGAGGCATATCTGATAATAGGGTGGATGTAAGGGCCTTTAACGTTTCTTAGTCAGGGTTGTATGAGACCTGGGCAGTTTAATGGACAAGCGCGTGCTTGGACGGGCAGAATCAGGGCCGAAGGCTGTGCAAGAAGCTATCTGTAGCGTCTGTGCCAGAAAAAAATCAGGTCCGGAGGCTCTGTTAGCCGGAAATTGTGGGACCGGAGGCAGATTGTGGCTGGCAGGCAACACACTATACCACCCGTCACACGCAGACAGCATGACCAGCCACCACGTACACGGAAAATGCAGGACACGAGCCCTGGGCCGTGTGTGAAGATTACTGACTTTATAGTGGAGGGCCGTCTGTGGACCGGGGCAGATATGCTAGTGGACCGGAGGGCCGTCTGTGGACCGGGGAAGATATGCTAGTGGACCGGAGGGCCGTCTGTGGACCGGGGAAGATATGCTAGTGGACCGGAGGGCCGTCTGTGGACCGGGGCAGATATGCTAGTGGACCGGAGGGCCGTCTGTGGACCGGGGAAGATATGCTAGTGGACCGGAGGGCCGTCTGTGGACCGGGGCAGATATGCTAGTGGACCGGAGGGCCGTCTGTGGACCGGGGAAATA